AAAAATTATATTATTAAACCAAATATAAATTACTTCGTTATTGTACATAAATTAAATTATAAAAAATTGGATTAAAAAGTTACACAAAAAATGAGGAATTTCAAATAGTTAATTTGATACTAATATCGATATATTTTTGTCAAATTTTTATGATATCGTCAAACATATATTTTATTCAAAAATAAAAACATCATCGCTTTCTCAAAATCACGTAAAATCATATCATAACATCGACTGAAATAAAGAATAAAATGAAATATTAAAAACACGATGTATCTCGCTGCATTGCGCGAGTACGCTTCTAGTTAATACTAAGATTGTTATAATAAAGTAGTTATTTAAATTATATTTATGTAGGTTCATTCAAGGAAGAATTGATTAGTTTGTAATAACTGTGAGATTCAATCCCAACCACGAATCAATGGATAAATTAGGAAACTAATATTTTTGGTAATTTGACTTAAAATTATAATTAAAGGGCATTTTAGGTATTTTAAATTTTTTATCTCTCCCCTCTCTCTCTCTCCTACCTCCGACGATCCGACGAACATCATGTGATACCCAAAATATACCAAGATACACAATGTGATACCCAAAACACACCAAATAAAACTTTGAGACCACTATGGCATCACTGTCGCAAGTGGGTGTTTGATGGTCGATCATTGGATATGGCGGCTTGGTCAGACAAGACGACCGGAGGAGGTCCCCTGAGTGGTGGTGGGTGCCGGAGAAGGCCGTCGGGTTTGGTCCCCGTATATCCGTGTGTGTGTGTATATATACATATTAAAATAATTAAACCAATTAAAGTAAATTGGGATATTAAAGTAAATTGAATAATCAATGCAATTTACTAATTTATCTTTTGTTTTATTTTAGTAAATAACATTAATTATTTGTAATGATTGACTCATATTAGACCTCAAAGTTACCGCAAACTATTTATTTCTCATTTAATTAGGCCTATATATATTTATATATATTAAAGATTTTGATTATTAATAACAATATTAAAAGAAAATTATAACATATCTGTTAAAAATGCTTTAATAACAGATTCCACCAAACTAATATCAAATATCAAAATGATGTTACTACACAGATTTAGATGAAGAAAACTAACAAACTAGTAAAGATCAAAGACTATCAACATTCAGCACCATGCCTCTGATCATTCAGATCCTATAAAACCAGCACATATAGATGATATTTTCTTCAAGAATTTCGTGGAAATGATGTTTCCGGCGAGCTGCCAAGAGATCGGTTATCGTCTCCGTCCGTAGACACCACCGGAATTTTGACTGCAGCCCTCTCCATCTCCTTCTCGAGCTCTTCCTCCCGTCTCAAAGCCGTAAACTGCTTGTCTAATGACCTTGCTGCCCCTAACCACGCAAGAACGATCACAAGAAGTATCCCACCAAGATACGGTGTCGAGTTTGCAAGCGAACCGAACGTTAAGATCATGAATTGCTGGATCAACGCACCCCCGGATTTCCCCAATGGGTTGCACACCACATCGATGGCCGCCTTGCCTTTAACCTGCCAAAGATTCAAAGGTTTCAAATCTAAATTCATAATGCCGAACATCAAGAAGTGGTTTGGAGTAGAGATGCAGAAGCCGGGCCCATGCCTTCCAAAAGCCTGTTTTTAGTATAGCAAAAAGAAGCCCGGGTTTTTGGGCCCGGACTGGCCAGGCTTTGGGGTTGAAAGAGGGCCCAACTGGGCTTTTCGGGCCAGGCTTAACCGGATTTTTGGCCAGATTTAAAAAAAGTTGGCCTAATCGGGCTCTAAACCTGGGCCTGGGCCTGGGCTCGGGCTTGCTAGGCTTGGGCTTTTTTTTCAGAACTGTGTCCAGGGCTTTTTTTTTCGGTGGCCACAATTGTTGTGGACGCCTGGAATTGAACCCGCGGCAGATGGGATATTCCACCACATCCCCTTTGGTATCTTGTGCCCAAGCTTTCCGGGCTTTTTTATGCCGGGATTTTCGGGCAGGGACTCGGTTGTGGGTGTTTTTGTGCATTTTCTAGTTTTGGATTTTAAGTTTCGAACCTTGGTATCTTCGTCCAAAGGAATATAGGCCATTTCCTTGCAGGGATCAAAGAGACTGTATTTGGCACTCTTGCTGAATATATTTTGCATTGCACCCACGTAAACCGCTGCTAAAAGTGGTGTGATCCCGAACGTCATGAGACCTGGTCCAAGCGGATCACCGAACAAAATCAAAGAGAAGAAGCCGATCCCGGTTAGAAGCAGAACCGTGGGTGTGATTTTGGCTGCAACGCCCCACCCATATTTGTTGAATATCCATTGGCTTAGCAACATCATCGTGAACGTTGTTATTCCAGTTGCAGTCGAGAAATCGCCCATGAAAGAAGAGTATTCATTCGGACTAGGAAACTGAAAGACCGAAACAGGTGGTCATGAGTCGACATAACAAGCTCGTGAACAAAGTAAAAACAAGTTATTTCACATTTGTAAAGGATATGTGGAACCCCTTTGAATTTTATAAAGATGGGGGAGGTTCCTACACACACATATATATGGGCATGTTCAGTAAGGAACCTAAAATTGATTAGGAACCCGGGAACCGCACGCAACACGACACATGGCATTTTCATCAGAAATATGGACGTGTTGTGTTGTTCATCATAAATATTGTAACATATTCATCATGAATGTGTGATTCATAATGAATAACACTTCCATATTCATCATGAGTTTGTTATTCATGATGAATATTAACCTTGAGTTCATCATTCATGATGAATATCCATCCTGAGTTTGTCATTCATGATGAATATCCAACAGTAACTATCATTCTTAGCAATCAAGATAACCATTATACTTGTAGTAATCGTAAAAAAGCAACGGTTCTACTATTTTACCTGGGCTTTGAGCTTAGATTTCCATGTAACCTCGACAAGATTAATGCTAATACCGTATGCTACCACCAATGTCGCTAGATCCCTAATGTACGGTGAAGACACCAAGAACTTCAAACTCTCCATCGTCGTCATGTTTGGCTTTTCCTGCGAATCCAATCAAGCAAAGGGTGTTTTCAAGATCCGATTTTAGTCAAAAATCAATGCGATTGAAATAGAATTCAAGATTCTTTTTACCTTCTTTTTCTTGCTACGAGTAGGAAGGGGAACGTAAGTATTCACCCACCAATAAAGACCGCAAATAGCAAACCCCATAAGCACGACAATGCTCATCATATATTTCAATGAAATGGCCCATCCGTCAACTCCCGGACCCAAGTGTTTTCTCATATTCGAGAAGTATTTCACTGTTCGTCCGGAGAAGATCAAAGCAACATTTGCTCCAAGTCCAAACAGAGGGTAAAATTTCTTGGCTTCATCTACGGTTGTTATCTGAGTTTCGAGAAAGTTCATGAGGGTTAGAATCGTCATTAAACATAAGCACGAGAGACACATTCAGGCGAAACACGTAGTCTAATCACTATGTTTTTTCTGATATTAACACTAACATTACGTTCACAACCTTCACACTACAACAAAATCGGCTTTATAATACGTCATATATGTCTAACGTCCTAATAGACTCCTTCACAAGATTCAAGTTCATACGACCAAATAATCGTACATCAATGATACGATACGTTGATAGGACGCTTTTGGACATCCTAACAAGTTTCTATGACAATTTTGAAATAAATCGTCCTATTTGTCTTTTTATATGGCATTATTCGAAAAACGTGTCTTATAAAAACAAGTGCGCTGTAAAAAGATGAGTCTGTAAGCCATTTCTCAAAATTTTCGTAAAAAACTTGTTGATATGCCCAAATACATCTAACGTCCTATTATAACACCTTTATATAGGATGTACAATTGTTTGGTTGTATAAACTTTAAGAATTAAAAAACTTAGGGTGTGTTTGTTAATAATAGCTTAATAGAACTCACAGCTTATTCGGTCAACAATACATGACTGTCTGGTAGTGGCTTAATGATATAGAAAATGGCTTATTCAGTAAGCTTCTAGGGGGAGTTTTATTCAGAAAGCCAAGTTTTTTCCAAACATGCCTCCCCCAATTAAAAAAACCCGCTCCTCTCTATCTATGAAAGACCCCTCCCACACAAAAAACATTCTCAATCTATACAGATATATTAATACACACAGACAACTTTATTCATTCAGGACTTAATGGATAACCAACCAAACAGCCCTTTTCTATAAACCCAATTTTGTTGTAGTATCGTGTGATCTTGGCATATAATATTATAACGTCTACGTCATCAACTAAACAAATGAATCCATATCGATTATCAATTTTCGGTACTAATCTTACACAAATCTAAATTACAATCTCAAACATTTGCAATCAACCAAAAGATGAACTCCAATCATACAAAAACATGATCCAACACATAAATCAAACAAATTTGATGAATCAAACAACATCATTACCTGATTCGCGAACCCCCAAAACAGAACCGAAACCACCACACTCCCCCACAGCTCAGCCATCACATAGAACAAACAGAAACTCCAAATCCTTAAAATCGCCAGAGGTCCAAGAAACCGAGGACCCAAAAACTCAAGAAGTCTATCAGCAAGAGCTGTTGGGTGAATCAGATTGCTAAGAGGATAGAAAACAAACCCAAATGCCCCAAAGAAAGCAATAAATGGAAGAATTACAGTATAGAAAAGAGCCTTTTTCGACAACACATTCGACAATTTGGTGTATAACAACATAAACCCAATTGCCATAGGCAAATTAACCCAAGTTTTCAAAAAGGGAATGATTTCAGCACTTGAACCCTGAGCTGTTACAACCAGAACATCTTTTGTATCCCTAAGAATAGTGTAATTAAAAAGTATACAGAAAAACATTAACCCTAAGGGAACAATCTTTTTGAGGGTCACAACTTCAACACCCATAAACTTGGCTGACTCCAACCCATCGCCGCCGGGGACGGCGTTGGCGGCGGCGGCAGCCGATGCCTTGCAGACATGAAAAGTTTTTGTTTTCCGGCCACAAACTAGGCTAGGGTTTGTTGTAAAACTTCTAAATTTCGTAAACCCATCAAGATTTAAAGAAAGCCCATTTGTTGATTTGGGTTTTAAAGAATTTGGAAGATTGAATCGGTGTCTAAGACCCGATTGTGGTTGGTTAAAGAACGATTTGGGTTTGGGGTTAGACGGGAAGGAAAGAAGCCCTTTTGTTTGTATGACAGCTTCCATTTCAAGAAACCCCCTTCTTCTCTAATGCACACAAAACCAGAATCTATGAGCTTCTTGAGTGATGAATTCAAGAAGATCAAAGATGAATCTAAGATAGCATCAGAGAGAGGAAGGGATTGAGGGAGGTTGCAACTGTTGGAAGGTTTTATGTAACAGAAAGCAAAAACCCTGATGAAAATGGAATTAGAGAGAGAGAAATGGAGTTTTGTCCAGAAAAGAATCTGAAAAGTGCAAAAGAAACATGTGAATCGATGGATATTGGAAGATTGGCCCCAAAATTTTGGCTGAAAATGGAGAATATGAAATGATAACCCTTTTTGAAGATATTTGTGGGAGTTTGCGTAGTGGAATTTGATCCCCAGAATCGCATCCAAGTTGGCTTACCTGCCTCTATTTTTCATTTATTTATGGAAACTAGTGTTTGACACCATGCGTTGCATGGTGACAATAATCTTTTTTAAAATTACTGAAGTTAGTTAAATGAATCGATGATTATATTTATATATCAAATTAATAAGAATCATCCTTTGATATATGAATCCACCTTATCATTATTGGTTGTTCTTTTAATATATATATAGAGAGAGAAGCGATCAAATGAAAACCACTCCAATTTGTAAAAACGGTAAAAACTACTCTCATTCATCGATTTTATTGTTTAATCTTATGAAATTTTTTCATGAAATGTTTCATATAATACTTTTTTTTATGAAGTTGTTTCATATATGGTTATGAAATTGTTTTATATATTACTTAATGAAATTTTAATGAAATTGTTTCATGTATTTCTCTAAAATTAAAATAATGAAGATGATAATATCCATGATTAACAACCTCCACAATAAAAATGATTAATCAACCTCTCAT